CACACACACACACACACACACACACACACACACACACACACACACACACACACACACACACACACACTCGCACACGCGCACGCACTCACACTCACACTCACACTCACACTCACACTCACACTCACACACACACGCACACACACGCACACACACTCACACACACACACACACACACACACGCACACACACGCACACACACTCACACACACACACACACACGCACACACACACACACACACACGCACACACACGCACACACACTCACACACACACACGCACACACACGCACGCACACACACGCACACACAGCGGAGAGCAACAGGTGGAGTTACTGTGTTACGCCACACTAATAGATGTTTAAATAGGTATTTTCCAGCCAGAATTATTGGAAGATTAAGTCCAAATGGATTTGGTTTCATTCCAAGCGCATGAGATAATTAATCATGTGGTGTTCCAGTTATTTTGACCCGGAGAGGATTCTATTTTCCCCCAAAATACAAGTTTTCTTTTAATTAGTGCAGGTTTAGTATTTCTTTTTGGAGCTGATTGATCGTGGGCCTTGTTGATCTGAGCTTACGTACCTCAAATAATGCTTTTTTTACTCAAAAACTGAACAGAATAAGCTCAGATCAATAAGGCCTACGATCAATCAGCTCCAAAAGGAATTACAAAACCTGTGCTAATTGAAAGAAAACAAGTTGATAAAAATATTGAAGATTTGGAAGATGTGGAGGTAATACAGCATAATGAGAGATTTACAAGCAATTATTAAAATGCCAGTCATTTTTGACAGGGAACGCCAAATTAGGATTTTCAGTACAGCTAACCAATGCTTACTAAATTGTTCACAAAAGTATGACAATGAAAGAACAGCACTGCCAGATTATTAATAATGCATTATCAATATTTTGAAAAAGAAACATCTAGAATGAATATGTTTTTCCCCCCAAACGATACACTATTTGAACTCCATAAGCTGAAGCTGAAGAATGAATGAACACTTGTAAACTGAAGCACTTTGGTAGATGATTAATTAATTCAACCTGATGCTCCATATATGAGATTAATCAGACACATAACATAATATTACAACTGCACAAAATGATGTAAATGTTCAACTACATAAATAGTCAGAATATGTAGCTCCCATTGTGGATGCTCTAACAATGTGGTAAAACATGGCAACTAAAGCTGGAATACACTACCTGACTTTTGCCAAGATTTGCAGTCTAGGGGATTATTTTATAACACATATTGTTTCCATTTGTCATGCATCTCTTATAGCAACAAGATGCATGATTCTGCATACATTGTGTTTGTAAAGACTTGAAAGTCCAGTAGATCCTTTAAAAGCTGGAATACACTAAAACGACTTTCACACTATCAACTTTCAGGTCATTCTGAACATTGCTATATGCTACATTGCTGAACATGATCAGACACATAACATAATATTACAACTGCACAAAATGATGTAAATGTTCAACTACATAAATAGTCAGAATATGTAGCTCCCATTGTGGATGCTCTAACAATGTGGTAAAACATGGCAACTAAAGCTGGAATACACTACCTGACTTTTGCCAAGATTTGCAGTCTAGGGGATTATTTTATAACACATATTGTTTCCATTTGTCATGCATCTCTTATAGCAACAAGATGCATGATTCTGCATACATTGTGTTTGTAAAGACTTGAAAGTCCAGTAGATCCTTTAAAAGCTGGACTTTCACACTATCAACTTTCAGGTCATTCTGAACATTGCTATATGCTACATTGCTGAACATAACTCATTGCTATAAGACACAATACAAATGAAAAGAATACAACAAGCGATTTACCATAAGATGGCAATAAACATGAGAAGTGCCTGTTATACAAGGTTTCAGTCATCGTTCAAAATAGTAAAAGCTAGGACAGGAATGGATAAGGATAGTAAGGAAACCGAAAAAGTGAAGTAATAGACTTTTATTGTATTTTATTTTTTTAATGAGGAGGCCGTTAGATGCTCACGGAAAATATGATTTTTCAGTTGTTTCTTGAATATATTTGATATCCTCTGCCTGTTTGGAATAATAGTCTGAAGCTAAAAAACCTGTGTCTGTGTCCATCATAAACTTTCTGATTGTCTGCACAATCTGTCGCCTCTGATAACTGCAGACTTTGCTCTGATACTCGTCCAGACTGTAAATCGGGGGAAACTCTGGGCAAAAGTCATGTAGTGTATTTATACCTTTAGTTATTTAGTGTATGATGCCCCATTTTGTTTCCTGTGTCTGTTTAGTTTTCTAAATCTGTTTAGATTTGTTGTGTATTGCAGTGGTGACTTTGGTTGGCACCTGGGTTTGTTTGCGTTAGAGTTTATTTCATTGGTATGATGTAAATGACTGTCTAACTGTCCAGCAAACAGCAAGCAGGTGAACACAAAGACCCGTCATTCTGAACATTGCTATATGCTACATTGCTGAACATAACTCATTGCTATAAGACACAATACAAATGAAAAGAATACAACAAGCGATTTACCATAAGATGGCAATAAACATGAGAAGTGCCTGTTATACAAGGTTTCAGTCATCGTTCAAAATAGTAAAAGCTAGGACAGGAATGGATAAGGATAGTAAGGAAACCGAAAAAGTGAAGTAATAGACTTTTATTGTATTTTATTTTTTTAATGAGGAGGCCGTTAGATGCTCACGGAAAATATGATTTTTCAGTTGTTTCTTGAATATATTTGATATCCTCTGCCTGTTTGGAATAATAGTCTGAAGCTAAAAAACCTGTGTCTGTGTCCATCATAAACTTTCTGATTGTCTGCACAATCTGTCGCCTCTGATAACTGCAGACTTTGCTCTGATACTCGTCCAGACTGTAAATCGGGGGAAACTCTGGGCAAAAGTCATGTAGTGTATTTATACCTTTAGTTATTTAGTGTATGATGCCCCATTTTGTTTCCTGTGTCTGTTTAGTTTTCTAAATCTGTTTAGATTTGTTGTGTATTGCAGTGGTGACTTTGGTTGGCACCTGGGTTTGTTTGCGTTAGAGTTTATTTCATTGGTATGATGTAAATGACTCTGTCTAACTGTCCAGCAAACAGCAAGCAGGTGAACACAAAGACCTAGTGACCTTGTTTGTTGTCATTTGTTGTGGCAGTGTGAACTAGCCTTAATTATTACAGTGTAATAAACCTCTATAAGGGGTTTTATATAATTCACATAATAATTTATATAATTCAGATTGCATGCATTTGGGTACCTTCCACAGTGGCCAAGTCATCCACAGACAGCTTCAGACTCTTTCCTCTCCTGCTCACTCGCACTGTGTGCCACTCATTGTCATTCAGATTCTGACCAGCAAATATGGTCTCAGGTCCTTTGCCTGTGGGACAGCCCAGATCACAGTTAAACACAGTTAAAAAGAGCAAAACAACATATGCTCTAAAGAACAGACGGACAACAGGGCCATTTAATAATAGCACAAAAATGCCTTAAATATTACATTAATGATAGTGTCAAAATAAATAAATCCACATATTAAAGACAGACATATATTTTATGAATTACTCTTTAGTGTAACTGATTTAAAATCAATTATCAATTTAACACAACAGATAGACAGATTTACAGTATACATATTCAAAATCGAACTAAAACGGGAAAATATGGTAAAAGGCACATATGGGCCATCTTGCTTGACTTTTGGGGTTAGGTGACCCTCTATTTAGTGCAAGAGGCTGCATGAGGTTTACATATAAAAAGTTTTCCTTTTTTAGTTGAAAGTAGTGTTGTGTAAATGCCCCATGAAACGACATCACTGTGCAGTGACTGGCTCTCTAGTTACAGGACTACAGGACACAGCTGCACGTGTTGAGGGAATTGTGTTGTACCCATGCACCAATAGAAGCTCAATAACAAGCTCACCCCATCTTCAATTGTTCTCAAAACATATACCGGTGAAAAAGGAAGACTACTGGGTGTGCTGCCTGTGGTAGTACTATATAATGACCGGACGGAGTCTGAATGATCACTGATCTTGAGAAACACTGCCTCCGTATTTCAGGGCAGTATTGGCACCATTAAATCTCTCAAAGGGAAGATTGTATTTAAAGATGGCATAATTCCATGGATTCACAAGGCTCATTCAGTGCCATAAACCATTCAACCAATTAGTCACAAATGAGTTGGATTGGCTGGAGGAAATCAGAGTACTGTCCCAAGTAAACTAGAGTCCATGGTCAGTACCAGTCAAACATGACACAGACTGTATGGGCACTTCAAGGTCTCAGTCCTGACCTATAACTGATTAGTCAAGGACATTTTGGCCAATTTGTCAGCCAGACAAATACAAAGTTCTGGCATGAAACTCTAGATGGCGCAGTCCGATAGATCGAACTCAGTATGTCATAATGACATCATTATCACATGGCACAGCTGATTGGATCCCTACTGTATCGGTAGCCAATGAGCTCGCTGCTCAACATTCAAATACTTGATAGCAGTGGCAGCGCACTTTAGACATGCCTGAAATCAACATCTAAGATAAGTGAATGTTCTTCTAATCCATATTGTTGTGTGTATTGTGTGGTTTGCCTAATAGAATTAAAAAATGAGCAACCATAAACAAGGTAAAATAAGTGTCATGCTAGCAGGTTGCATTGTATGCAGGAGTGAAATATTAAGCATATTAGCAGCAGCATGTACGCATCAGTGTTTATACAGTTGGAGCAAACGTAGTCTAGAGCATGTAATCGCTCTAAGGACACGCCGCTAGTAACAGACATGAAAACAAGCTAAATGAAATAAGCATTCTTGTGTATGCATTTCAACCAGGGTTGCTATATTCAGGCATAATGGTTGATGTTTCATTAGCTGTGCTGAGTGTGCATTCGATTTCAGCTGCACGCAGCATCAAACGCACATGCTTTTTATAAAGTATAAAGTGAGTAACGTGACATGTGGCCAAGTATGGTGACCCTGCACCCATCCAAAGTGCACACACACAGCAGTGAACACGCACACACCGTGAACACACACCAGTGGGTAGCCATTTATGCTGCGGCGCCCAGGGAGCAGTTAGGGGTTCAGTGCCTTGCTCAAGGGCACCTCAGTCGTGGTATTGAAGTACATACTGTACATACACTCCCCCCACCTACAATCCCTGCCGGTACGAGACTCGAACCTGCAACCTTTGGGTTACAAGTCCGACTCTCTAACCATTACGCCATGACTTTCCCGACTTTTTTGATCGTTCCTAATGGCTCTATTCGATTAGAGAATATTGTTATATTAAAAACAGTTATCAAATGAATAATTTATGATATTTGTGCTGTGTCATAGTACGTTGTACTGTGGCTGCCGTCGCATCATCCAGGTTGATGCTGCACACTGGTGGTGGTTGAGGAGAGACCCCCCCACAGCAATACACAATAAATCGCTATATAAATGCATCATTCATTCATTCATGACATTTGCTCAGGTGGGTGCTGGGGTCTTATCTATAGGATTGCAATGCATATTCTTGTTAACACTTGTGAACATTACACATAGTGTGAGTCAGATTAGAGTTAAGCCGGTTGGCATGGTAGCCCAGGCACACCATTATATCCTTATACTCAGCAACATGCACATATTGGCTTGTATTGTTAATTTCTGTGTCTCCTGCTTAGTTGGGGGCTATTCATATAGGTTATATGTGCATCAGCAATATTCCTTACATGCTCACAGCAGCATATTGTGGATGTATTGGCAGTAGTAAGTTTCTGTACTTGCTCTGCAGCAGCAGCAGCAGCTTAGTAGATCTATTCCGCCAAGACCAAATTCATTAACATTGTCATGTATATTACTATGCTAACCACTCCTAGAGTTGTCATGACAGAAATACAAAGGTCTGGCATGAAACTCTAGATGGCACAGTCTGATAGATCTAACTCAGTATGACATAATGACATCATTATCACATGGCACAGCTGATTGGTTCTCTCCTGTTTTGGTAGTCAATGAGCTCGCTGCTCAACATTCAAATACTTCGCAGTGTTTGCTGTAGCAGTAGCAGTGCACTTCAAAAACCCTCCACATCTGCTATGGTGTGATCATGTATGCTATAGAATTATTCATGTTATATGTGCAGCAGTCCAACCAGTGCGTACGTAAAGGTACATCACCAAATAAAGAGACATGACGGTTAATAAGAGCAATCAAGTCAGCACATTTACTCTCTGGCAAATGGGCCAACATTTTATGCACATTTTTTAAAGTCTCTAAATTTTTAATATGTCCCAACAGTACCGTATCCTCTGGAAAAGAAACTCATTCATCAATTTCCTCCTCCAAAGGAACAGGTGAAGTACTCTCAACTATCAATACAGGTTTCACTTCAGTCTTGGCGTCTAATGCTTTGTGAGAATGGCAATAATAGGGCTTGTAGCAAATTAGCTCAAACGGGAAATGTATATAAATAATTACAATGAATTATAATTACAATTATTTACCTCAGCTGCCAATAGTAACTGTAGCAGAATTAATATTACAATCAACTAATCTGTTCGTCCAGTGAACATTCAATATAATTTCATATCAACTCTAAGAAAGGATATTTTCGTGGCCACAGAAAATAACTTTCTTACAGTAATGCATTAGAGCATGTAGCTATAGATCGAATCGTAAAAGGGACACTATTCACAAGTGGTGACAGAACCAGAAACTCATGTAATTTGTGCACAAAAGTTGTATTAACTAAACACTAACACATAACTAATCTAGAAAAACAAACAAACATACAAATCACTCATTAATGGGGAGGTTGGAAGTGGATGATTGAAACCGTTAGAGAAACCAGAGAATGCAGTTATGGAAAATTAGTCGGTTAACCACCTGAGTGAAACCATCAGCGCCGTTTTATAATGGGGTCTACGGCTTATCCTAAACCTCATTTTCATTTCGTTTAGTTAAATATACGATACTTGCATTGCCTTGGCCTTGAACGAGTGTCCGGATGCAGTCTCGGATGAAAGTCTTGATGGTTTGGAGGTTCAATGGTGTAGGAGTCGCGATCACGTTCTTCCGGGTTTGAAGAGTGATGAACTCCAAAAAGATGTTATTCTGACTCTGTGGTGGTCTAACAGATGGAAAGGGAAGGCATGGCTGTAGTCGATGCCTGCCAGGCCTGCGCCGACCCCGGGTGGGTGATGAGAGCAGAGACAAGAGACAAAAACCCAAAAAGCCCCGGAGGGTCACTGATGTGAGGCCTTATAAGTTCGAAGCAGGTCACACCTCTCAGGATTTGAGTGAGCCAATGAGGAATGGTACCTTTGGAGGGAAATTTTACGATGCTTTGTCTCTAGCATGGTGTTTTGCATATGAAACTCAATTTGGGTGTTCAAGAGAAGAATCTTCAATATTCCTATAATAGATAAATAAAATTTCTAGGAGTCACTGGCTGAGCCAGACCTTAACTATACAAGAAACATCTCATACTAATATCTATGCATCTATATATGCATAGGTATCAACATATAATATACACTCTCATTTAGATCATGAAAATACGAACTCATAGATACCAAACATGGTATAGGTGAGGTTATATTAACTAGTGATCTATCATAAGCATGCATAAAACCGTATACGATACACAAGACCATATACAAGGAGGTAGTAATCATACACACATACCAGGGGATATGCATGATAGGAAAATCAGAGAAAAATTTGTTTATGATTTAATGAAAGACTCATTTCCTATAGCAGTATGTATCTGTTTTAGAGAGAATTCAGTAGGGAGGAAGATTCTCTCTACATACTTTTAGATTGTAAAGTTTATCTGATCTGGCTGAGGTGCCCTGGCCTTTAGATCATTCACAGACATATTAGCACCAAGTCTGATGTTGGGTGAGGGGTTTGTGATTGTTTGTTAATCTAATGAATATTTGATTTGTTAAATCTAATGAACAATTGTGTGTCTGATTGGTCCAAATGCTACAGGCTTCAACAAATTAATATGACACAACTGTGTTGACTTCCTTCTATCTGGGGTGGCAATCAGATAGTTTAAATCAGTAACTTGCTTTACCACCATAAAATGACTTGTATACTGATCTTGAAACTATGAGCCCTCCACAGCTAACAGAGCCAACACTTGATCGCCGGGCATAACTTGTCGTTTCTCAGTTCGCAGATCATTAAGTGACTTCATACGTCTCTGAGAAGAACACATTTGTTCTTTTGCCATCTTACCCGCTTCATACAATCTAGGCTTATAGTCATTCACATAACTTATCAAGTTTTTAGGTAGTGTACTTTCAGTCCAGTTATCGTGGAGCACAGCCAGTGGGCCCCAAACAGTGTGCCCAAACAACAAATCATTGGGACTGAACCCAATAC